ATTCATTTTTAATGCAAGGTAATACCTTTCTGTAAATTGCCCCGCTTCTTATTAGCTGCATTATTAATGACAGTTTTAATTTTAAGATAGCAGTTGTTCTGCATCATAAAGAGAGCGCATATACTGTATAAGGGAAACTGTTTTATGTAGGTGCATGTACTAATCTGTTTGTTTGAGTGCAACAGCAAATGCAGAAGATCCTAACATGAAGCAACAAACTGAACATGTGTGTCATGCAGTGAGTGGTAATAATAGCTTGTATGTTTTCAGCATCATTTGTTTTGAGAATATGTATTTAGAATTTTATGAATTTAGTTTCAGTTTAGCTGTAGGTAATAGTTACATAGACATGAAGGCATAAATAAAGGGTCGTTTTTTTACTCTAGCCTAACAGCTGTGGAAAGAGTCACAGTATGTGCGTGATTTCACTATGAAGTTGCGTTTATATAGTGTATATGATGTCCCTCACAGACAGGCCCAGAGAGAAGAGATCTCCATTTTTGAGCTTTTATTTACATGCATATCCAAGTCCTTTATTTGGTTTTTGGATGCAGTTCTTTAGTTGTTGTTCTGGGTTCTTTTCTGACCTCCCGATGGGTCGTGAATGTGCTCTTAGATTAATTTTGGTAGGCCAGCCACTCTTGCAAAGGTTCACCACTATTTTAAGTTCTCCATTTGTGATAACGGCTCTTACTGTGGTTTGCTGAGGTCCCGTGACCTTAGAAATGGCTTTATAACCACAGATGATGTCTTTGTTTCCCATCTGTTCCTGAGTTCCTTTAGGCCGTGGTACGATCTGTTTCTTTTTGAGATCTTTAAGCCAGCTTCACTTTGTGAGGCTGTTTAAGTGATTTCTTGATTCCACATGTGTAGCAGTAATCAAACCTGGGTGTGGCTGCTGAAACTGAACTCAGCTTTCCAAAAACGAATTTACTAATCACAGTTACAGTTACTTTTTCAGGTAGATTTGGATGGACTTCTTCCTCCTTTATAAATAAAATCATCATTTGAAGACTGCATTTTGAAACAATGTATAAGAAATATGAACAAATCTAAGAAATTAACAGGGGACAAAATCATTTTCACGTCATTGTACATTTCTAGTTTGTGCTGTGTTAAACACTATGGATAAATATACTTAGACATGTCCTTGTAAAATTGATGTTTGGACATTTTTACAGCAGAATTAATGGGCCTGCTCATTCTGGAAACCATGTGTTTATATACTGTTAATCCAATTATGAACTATTACTTTCAATATCTGCCACCAAAGACATTCATGACAAACAATAAAACAATGAATTGAATTTTAACTAAGCACATGCATCACTTCTTTGTCTACAGATGGGCTTGAGCCCAATAATATCATTCCAGCCAGGTCTCAAATCATAAAGTAAATTGGATGTGGAGTAAGGGATAAAAAAGACATTCAGAAAATTAAATGAATGTTACTGTTGCGATAATAGAATTTCAGTCAATAACAATTCTTGATAAAGTGAAGCATTGTTGCAAACAATTTGCAAAGACTTGAAACCTGAGTTGAGTGTTAAACTCTGTTCTCTGTCGTGTTGCACACCTGCAGAACAAGTAGAATATAAACCTGTGGTGGCAAAACAACAAACTAACAAACTGTCTTTGATAATTACCACAGCAGTCTTTATCTAAACCTCATCACATTTTCCGGCAGATTATTTTAAAGCAAGTTTCTAACCAGTGCATGTTGCGTGTTCACAGCTGAGCCTATGGAGCTACATTTTAAACTTTGCTGAAGTCAGGAAGATGATGTGACTTCACTGCAGAACCCAAGGGAGGAAGATGAAGGAGAGGATGAAGGCTGCCACAGAGCCGTTTAGGTTATCCTCTCATGCACACAATGTCTTGAAGACTTTTTTCCCCATCCTGTGCCCCACTTAGACTGGCAGCCACAGTTTTACTGCATGGCCTGAGTTCTTCTCCCAGATAGCCAAAACCCTTGGGCAACCATTAATTAGCGCACAGTATGCAAAGTTGTTTATATAGCCTATGCATGCTTGTTAAAGAGATAAGGTCTAATCATTAATTAAACTAAAGTATATATTAAGTACTAAACCATGCAGTTTACAATAAGCATGTGCTTAAAGGGATTCTGAAGGCTGTATAAACAGTATTATTACTGACTATTGTAGTCAAATAATTATGTAGAAAAAATAATTATTACTGGTTACAATTTCAGTTCCATAAGTGTACATCTTTAGCAAAGAGTCGTGCCTTATTTCATTGTCTGGTGTGCTAACCAGGCTCGTTTTGGATCAGCAAACGGAAACTCAGAGGGGACTGTTTCCAGCACGGAAGAAAATGAAGTCTTTGCTGATGGGGAACAGCTGTCTGTGTTCTTACTCTGTGCACCAGTAAGCTGAAGTTTTGTGTGGTTGGTGCATTAAACTGCAAAACTTCTGCAAGGTTACACATGTATACAAAGAGTGTCTTTTGAGATCACCTGCTGATGCAAGGAGATGCAAAATGCAAAAATACTGTGAAATCTAACTGTTTTTGACACATTTGTCTTCATTGCTGTTCTGTTTTTGTGGTGATGCAAAAGAACCTTATAAGCCCATGTCATTTCAAATCACTAGTGTCCTAAAAGAAATTCTCTATTATGATAAGAAAATAAAGGCGCAGAATAAATGAAGCCAGCTCTCGTAAATAAGTCAGGCCATCCCCGTTAAGCACAGAGGAAATTTATACACATTGCTTTTCTGAGTATTATTTGGACAATGTGTCATTTTTTTCTTCCACACTGATCATTTAAACACTGAGTGGACATAAAGAGTCTTTTGATTTTAACCCACATAATAGACAGACTCACAGGATTATGTGTTTAAGACTGAAAAACACCATAAATACCATGAATATAACTTATCGAGCACAGGCGAACAGGCAGGTTATTGTTGAGGCTTTGGTGAGTAATTTAAAAGAAAAGCAGTCTTAGGTTTGGTTTGATCAGTAATCAATTCTGTACTTACAGTTGCAAGAAAAACTTTGAACTTTTCACATTTTCGCTGAACAAATTGTAATGATTCAAAAGGCAGGCTGGGAAAAATAAGTGAACCTTTGTGCTAAAGCTATTTAAAGTCAGGCATTCAAATTAAGGAGATGAGATTAGAAGTGTAAGTTTTAGAGGTGCCCTGCCCTGTGAATTCAGCCATGCAAAACCCAGTTGCTGAGTCTGCTTTTCTTGAGAAAGAATGACTCGTGCAGCCATGCTTCAATCACGAACGCTCTCATCGCACCTTAGAAGAAGCTGGAAATCCTCCAAAAGCATTTCTAAAGACTTTGGTGTTTCTTTATCCACAATAAGAAAAGCTGTCAACAAATGGATGAAATTCAGTAGAGCTACTCTCCATAGGTGTGGGCGTCCTACTAAGAGCACACCAAGAGCACACTGTGTAATTTTAAAAGCGTAACAGAAAGAATAGAAAGAATAAACACCTGCAGAAATCTCTACAACTTGCTAAAACATTTGTTCACAGTAGAATCAGTCAATTGCTATTACAAACCTAAAGAAAATATTTTTGCTTGTTGGTGTCGATTGTTGGTGCATCGCATGCAAGAATTTTAAGGAGATTTGGGTTTGTGTCCAAATTGCAAGACAAGCTTTGTCAGTTTAGAAGTATCTTCTCTATTTTCTCAATTTTGCCTCAAGAGCCTTTCTGAAAAGATCAGACAAAAGAGTTCTCCTAAGTGGCCCTCATCAAATACATTCGCTGCTATCGTTTTGTTTTTTGGAGTGGGGGAAAAAGGAGACTTTGCGCACCGACATCAAGAACTAGCCCCAACTGTGAGGCAAGGTGGAGGGAGCAACTTGGTTTGGAGCTGCTTTTTGACCTCAAGGGCTGAACAGTTTGCAATAGACTGTAAAGTAAATTGAATTAAACAGTGTTACAGTGTTACAGAAGTATGTCAGGGCAGTCTGGGACCTACAAATAAAGAAAACCCAAGGCACACAAATAAAGAACCGAATAGTTGAGAAAGAATGGAATTCAGACCAAGACTCCTGAACATAATCCAACTTAGATATTGGAGCATCACCTATGGTAATTCACGTTAATAGAACCTCTGTCACCTAGAATCCATAGTTTTGGGTCCAGTTCAATTTGGATCCCCATTACCCCTGAGATTATTTGAATGGCCCGTCTGCAAAATTCTTCTATCACTGCGCAATTCCACAGCATGTACTGTATAGGAGATTGCCATCTGTGACCTTACATCTCAAGCATCTGGGGCAATAATTACTATCAATTTTATGTCGTATGTAAGGGGTCTAATATATCCTATGAAATATGTTAAATTGCATTTGCCTGTTCCAATAAGTGGTGCCACTCTACCTCTTCATAGACATAGCCCAGGTCTGTTTTAAAGAGGGCTGTTTAATCATTAAAAGGTTTAAAAAACATTATTATCCGGAGCTTTTAAACCGCTACAAGAAAACACTGATGAGGACGGTTTCTACTAAAAGAGGTTCTGAGTTACTATATTTAGTCCAGTTGTTTGTGTTATTTCATCATAGTGTAGTCATGTTGTTTGTTTATAATCGTGACTTAGATCGGACAACATTTTGTGAGTAATACATTCAGAAGTCTGAGTAATTCAGAATCACATTTATTGGCCAAGTATGTGCACAAATACAGGGGATTGGGCCTTGTTATTTTCTTTGCTCTCAATGTATTTTGCAGAGTAGACAGACTAGAACAGCATCCATCTATCCATTCTCTTCCGCTTGTTCAATTCGGGATCGCGGGGGGCTTGGAGTCTATCCCAGCTACCATAGGGAGAAAGGGCTGGATACAGCCTGGACAGGTCGCAATAACAACATGTATAGCATATTTATATTGATATGTGCAGTGGTGCAGAGTGCGAAGATGAAATAAATTATGGAATAAATAAGGAATGGAAAACTGGATATTTTGGTTGAGTCTCCAAACATAACACCATCCACTTATGTCTCCTCTTTCCTTCTGCAGACCTGCGCAGAGACTATGGCTGCTGCACGTTGGAAGCCTCAGTCAGTGGATATTGGCTTTTGGCTCCTCCTGTTCCTCAGCCTCATTCCTGAATGCAGGTACACAAAAATATATATGTCACGCTGTAATGCCCATTCAAGTTCAGTACTCGGGTGTCTGCTGCTGATGTGGGGGTTTTTTAGGACCTGTTTGATCAGGCTCGCTTCTGCAGCCTAACCAACCTTTTTATTTGCATGGAAAATTTAAGAAATGTATGAAATTAGAATCTTAGTTGTGACTGTCAGATGCAATAACTGTAATGCTGTATGGATTACTGAACCACCTATACATTGCACCTGCTCTGCCATGGGAACCCATGCCATGAAGCTCCCGTTGCACAGTTTTTGTGTTAACACCAGAGGAGATTTGTTACTCTGCACTTATTCCGTCCGCAGAGCATTGGCAACTTGTTGAGTCTTCATTTAATTTTCCGTGGTCTGAGTTGCTGTGGTTCCTAAATGCTTCCATTTTGCAATACTACCACTTTGAGATTGTAGTGGAACATCCAGGAAGGCAGAAATTTCACAAAGTGAATGTTGCAACAGTGGCATCATATTACAGCACCCCGCTTGAGTTCAATGAGTTCTTCAGAGCGACTCATTCTTTCCCAAATATTTTTACAGTAAAGGCAGACTGCAAGGCCAGATGCTCAGTTTATTCACCTGTGACAGTGGGACTGAAAACACCTGAATTGAGATGTTAAGAATTATGGCTCAATTCTTGTGTATATAGTTCTGCAAGAGCTTAATAATTCAGTGTATAGAGAAAAACTCATCTTCTTTTGTTCTTGCACATATTGAAGTTTTTGTACCCAAGGACCTCAGTGCACTGTGACTCTTAAAATAGAATACATGACATGTGTCCTCAAGAACAGAACAGACATAAAGTGAGTTATCCTCCCATCTAAATGCACCTAGTGCTGTCTTCACCACTCGTCTAAATTTCACTGACTGCTGAGTTAATTTGCGTTGTGCAGCACAACATAGCTATGATTGTCCATTCACAGCATTTTCACTCCTGCATCCTGTGCATATTTTTTCAGGCTGCGTGTTACGAGTCAGCGAAAAAAGAAAACTCCAGCATGTCTAGGAGTCATTTTAATCATACTCCTTGTAATTTCAAACGCAGAGATTGCACAGGTTGCCTTGTTTGCATTGTTGATAAGGTAGGATGTTATGGCAGGGAGACGCGACGGAGTGTAAATCACTTTAAGATTTTACACGCTAGGAAAGGCTTGCCGAACCTGGAAGAAAGCCGGTCGGGGAAGGAAATCAGAACACTGTGACAGGGATTAGCCCAGTTTGCTTTGTCACTGTGCCACTTGGCTCTTCTTGCTTATTAGGAGCACACAGTGCTTGTAATTACATATATTAAATAGAAATGTGTGACCAGGGGAAGGTGCTGGCCAAGCCTGGCAAGACATCATTTTACAAGAACCTGTGCCCTGGTCTTAAAGTAGCTTTCAATTCAGCCAGGTTCATACAGTGTATGTAGATCAACAGATCTTTAGTCAGTGATGAACACAGACTAAACTGACTGAAAAAGTGTCCAGACATATAAGACAGAACTTAACTCTAACAGTCAGCTGCACTTGTGCCACATTGTTGTATTTATAAAAAAAAGTTTGACATTTATCTAAATAGATGCAGCAGAACCAGAGGCAAATTACTTTATTTAAGACATTCTTCTTCTTCATGAAGCTCTGGAGCCTACTTCTTTCAGCCGGCCCAAACACACACGCATGCACACAGTTCTTATTTTGCAAACTTATTGTCTCCAGTAAACAGTGTCTCAGTGACTTCACTGAACGTTTTTCACAGCTGATCTCTGGAGGTGTCACACTACCTCGAGCTAGAGTTTGCATCAAAATCTGTATCCGTACCATAACTCAGTCAAACAGGAGCACGCCGGCGTAACACACATTTTTAGAAAGAGTGTTACCTTTTCTTCTCGAGGTTTTGACTAAACTCCCCTGGTCTTAGAAAACAAGGTGTTCCCTTCATCTGCAGTACTTGGCTAAGACTGATCTAATTTTAAGGTTTACTTCAGTTTAAAAGCATCTGGTGATGGCAGCCATATCTCTATGATCCAAAAGCTCAGGCTGCAGACTGTGCTAACGTTTAGTTTCTAACATATCTGATATGAGAGCACATATCCCTTGCATGGCCATCTGGCTTTGAGCACAGCAGCCCTACCCACATGCTGCTGCAGCACTGCCCGAGCAGTCAGAGAAAGTTTTAATGCATGTGCCTGATGTGACACGTGACAGGGACTCACTAAAAATCATCTTCCAGTTATTTCAGACGCAATGTAGCACAGCAGTCTCTGCTTAAAACATTTTTCTTTGGTTTAACTTGTACTACATGAGGCTTCACATTTGCTTATTTGAATAAAGACTTTTTTATGTGTTGCCTCTCCTGAAATCTAAACCTAAACTGAAAAATGGATTTTTTTGGCATCTGAAAGTAAAAGTATATTTTAATTGTCCATCAAACTTTGGGTATAATCCTCAAACCATGAGCTTGCACATGCTCCCAGAATATCTGCATATCAGCAAAGCTGTTTCTCTCTGAGAACTGCCACCTCCCTGATGCCCACTGATGCTATCAACAAGCTCCAAATCGGCTTTACTACAGTTGAAGCAGGAGACTTTCCTAATGGATTAAGGTGTAACGGACAAATCCTCTATATAAGGATCTGTCATTCTGCACATCAACAAATTTCCCCACCCCACACTGAAAGTCAGGGCATGATTAAGCTGTTATTCCCAGCAATCCATGGACCACATATAAATGAGAAGTCTGCATAATGGCGAAGGTCCATCAGTCCTTCAGCTTGCCTCGCTTCCACTCTGCCTTCCACTTATACAGTCGACGCTTAACAAGTGTCGACAGTCAGGCCATCTTGTTGTCTGTTTTGTTTGTAATCTATTGCCAAGCTTCTGGATAACATGGCACATAATCAATAGCTATAAGAATGAAAGTGCTATATGTACACTTTGCCTGTATATTGGCTCTGAAGTTGCCCGGGCTCTGCTGGCTTTGTAAGCTCATCCCACATGAATTATTTACAGCAGGGCAGAGAGGGGCATCACTTTGAGAAGTGACCAGGTCAACAGTTAACATTCTGTTTCAGTGGTGTTGTCAAGGTTAATGTTTCACGGGTCTGGACAAGGGTAAGGTATTCATGGCGGAACTGCTTTCCTGATTGAATGACCAGCCAAATAGTTTCTCAGAGGAGTCAAAAGAAATAGAAAGTCAGAGGTTTGAGAATCTACTTAATGTCAAATCATAGGTTACCTGTCAAGATTTGCCAATTGTATACACCGCGTTTCCTTTCTAATTTGATTTAATTAGTTGGCTGATCAGTTATTTTGGCTTAGCCAGTGTTATAGGGGCCTCAATCATTTGAACAATTGAGTCACTGGTCAAGTGGTCAAAGAGCACACACACACACACACACACACAGAGATCTTTTTTCAATCAAGTTTTTCATTCAACATTAACGTCCTTTTTCACATTCAGGGGATTTTTTTTAGTTTGTTTGTTAAGCAACTTAACACTGACCTATGAGCCATTCAAGTTTCGACCATAAAAAGGCACTTATGGGATGAAACAGTGTTGTGTCTACACATAATAGAAAACTTGGCAAAGAACCAATGACGTCTCAGGCACTTTTTACCTGAAGCCTTTTTGCAACACACAAGTTCTTTTCCAATTTCTTTAGCTGAAGCTTTAAAAAGGGGAAAAATAGCAGAGTTTGACATGAAGTAGTAATTCTGCACCAAGCTGATTCCCAGAAGTTGATTTATCTCAGCATGATATGCAGTGCATCCTCCAAAAATATGAGGAAACTGAACAAATGGAGGACAAACAAGTGTCAGGCCAAAAAAACACAATGTACAGCAGATAAACGGTATCTGAAAGTCATGTTGTTAAGAAATATGAAAAATTCAAGTCTGAAATAGATGGTACAATAAATGGACTGGTCCTTTTAAAACACATTTCTACTCTAGCTGAGTAATCAAAGCGCTTTATACAGCTTGCGTCATTCACAGAAGTTCTTTTTATCTAACATTCACACTCCGATGGATGCATAGACGAACATTTTGGGGTAAGCATCTTGCCTCCAGGAATACTTCGCATGTAGACTTGAGCAGGCAGGGATTAAACCAGCAACCTTCCAATTAGTAGATGACCTGTTCTACCTCCTGAGCTACAGCCACCAATAGTACTTGACAGGTGTAACTTGGCCTTCTGCAGATCCATCTAACATGCAGAAAAAACCTCATCAAAAGTAGTCTCGGGGGAAGGGTGGCTGTCAAGAAGCCATACTTAAGGAAAGGAAGCAGGGAAAAAATGTATGATAAATTATACAAGAACTAAACTGACAGACAGTGACAGAGGTCTTATGGAGTGATGACTCCAAATTTGAACCTTTTGGTTTAAAATCATTGTCAAAATATGTGGAGGAGGTCAAAAGAGAGGTACAAAAGTGAGTGTCTACAGCTGTAATAGATGTTGAATACAGATTTAGATACAATACATGCTCAGTCATGACAATGATCGCAAACATACTGCCAATGCACTAAAAGCATAGATACATAGATAGAAAAACACACAGTGGATCATCTAGATGGAGAACAGAACAAAAAGCACACAGCATCCAAAGACGAGTTTTGAATGTCCTTCTAGAAGCCTGGGGAACTATTCCTGAAAATCTCTTCACCTAGTTCCAGTTTTCCTAGCAAAATCTAAAAAAATAAGGCGTGGCTCAAGAGGGAGAGAGAGAAAATTGCAGGGGCAGGGCTGTAGGTCACTTGGACCACAAACCAGCTCAACCACAAACCGTGCCAAACTGGGTCCTTTAAGAGCACCAGCAAGACGCTAATATAGAACTGAACAGGGATCATGGACAAAATATACAGTTAGATCAGGTACAGCATGAAAGGGAAAAAATTTTATTGGTCCGTGCTCTAATTACTTTGAAGTTTCAGTCAATTTTATATTGATATACTGAAGATCTGGTCAATAATGTTCCAAGCAACCAATTAGCTGAC